GCATCGTTGTCCTCGCAAATGTATTTATCCTGCAGCACTTGAATGTAAGTAAATAGACCCGAGTAAGTCAGTGTGTATCTGTGTGTGTGTGTGCGTATCTGTGTGTATCTGTGTGTGTGTGTGTATCTGTGTGTGTGTGTATATGTCTGTCTGTGCGACAATAACAATGCCATTATTCTTCAAGGCTTTTGGCGCAATTTGAAATGGGGCTTTGCTGGCGGTTTGCCTGCGGCTCTGTCTCCCTGACAATCTGTTACTTACATTTAAGCGATTGCGGCCAGTTGCCACAGCCAGCAAATGGAATCAGGCGGAATGAAGCAATAAAGGAGCCTTACGCGAGTGAGCATCAAGCCGGAGTCAGGCGAAGATCTGCATATTTACAATGGCTGGACAGCAAGGACAACATTTCGCTGGCAATTCGGCTGATGAAACTCGGCGATTTCCAAGCAAGCGAAGATAGAATTATTTAAGTGTTATATGGCCACTGGTTGAGGACATACAACTGTTATACAGCTGGTGGGTGAGTCTTAAAAGGAACTGTTATACGCCAATGACTAGAGTGTAGGATCAAAAAAAATTGGATTACTGCTGCGAGTTCCGGGAAAATACTGTAATACTGTAAAGTAAAGCTGCGACTTGAGGTTTGAAGCAACTGTTATACAGTATTTAACAGGGTAAGTTACAAAAAAACTATTCTACAGTTATACAGTGTTATACAGAGGGTGAAGTAAGTCAGGTCAACTAAGTTGTCAAGGAGCTGTAAAACAGCTGCTAATTGAAAACCAGAAGTCTTGGAAATACTCTAATTGTTATAGAACAATCGTAACACCAAATAGCTGACAGTTAATTGAAGAATTGCCAGGGTACATCCTAAAGAGTTGCTGAAATATAACAGATTACCGAATAAGTAGTTGCCACTTAACTGTTATATAACTCTTGTCATGCTTGCCCTTCGTATAACACCAATAAAAATTAACAACAATTCAAGCCAAATGTATGCCAAGTACCATAATTTGCAACTCTGCTGGCCTCATTGCCAAAGTAGTTTTATTGTGCTGCATAGAAACAGATGCAAGAAGAGAATTATTTAAAAACTTTCCGAATTTGCTGCTCATATGGGCATTTGGCTTAAATATATGGAGGCCATTAAAACAGCAAAATTTATGATTCCCCTTTCGGACATGAAGTTTGTAATCCAACAGGGGCAAATGTTGCGAGTATTGTGGCAATGCGTTGGTAGGGTTGTCGCTTTAAATAATCCCATAACTGTGGCCAGTTGTTGCCACCTCTACAAATGCTTAAACAAATGGATAAGCCCTTAAATGTAAAGCGGGACTAAGAGGGCTCAGCTTCTAAGCTGCCCAACTAGCTGATACCCTGTATTCAGCTGCGAACTATCATAAATTATATAAAATAGTTCGGTCCACATTTTTGGGGCTAGGCGATTAGCAAGTGAAAAATGTTTGATATTTCTGAATGGTTCTTATAAAATGATACATTTATCGATTTTCTGAGCACGACACAAATTTTCGAAACATGGAAGATATTCATTTACATGATGAACTCTTTCTGCATCTAGATGTTGATTATAAGTATTTTATGTTTACAGTGTATTCAAATGCTTTGACATACATTCGCTGCACATCGTGACACGAAAAAGTCACGACACGCGCTCATCTCGAACGCAGCGTGAAACGCACTTAAGGCCCATGTGATGCCCTCTTTACCCGTTTGCAGCCCCGCCTGCCCGTTTATATTGTTAATAAAACATTTTATTTTACGCCAAATGATTCTCATTTGTTGGACGCGTGTCCCGTCGTCTGTCTCCGTGTCAGTTCGCCTGTCACCGATGTCGGTTTGTGTGTCAGCTGCATTTAATTTGCTGGCCCACGTTGACTGTAAAAACGCGTCGTTGGCGAGTGAAATAAAAGTGGAATATAAAAATAAAACAAGAGAGAGCCAAGTCTAAATGCGGCACGCCGAACATCGTATACACTTGCGGCTAAGAAAGGCTTTCAAACGAAAGCTCCCGCTGCTTCTCTAGAAGCTATATACATTATGTATATGTGTAGTACTATATGGCAGACCGATTTGATATGACTTGGCAGATATGGAAGTGGAAAGTTTGATCAAGACATCTTGAAGGTTATATCGCACCGATCCGACGGATTCCGACATTTGTATTGGACCAACGAAAGCGTTTTCGGGAAGAGAACTAGAACTAGAACTAGAAAGATTGACAGACGGACAAGTCTATATGCACACAGCTGTTGACGCCGATATATATATATATATATATATATATATACTACTTCTTTTGTGCTGACAAATTCGTCATACCCTGTTAAAGGGTATAAGGAGGTTGGCAGAGCTGCGAGCTCTTGGAATATATTTGCTGCGTGCCCGTCAGTCAAAAGTTACTTAACACCCACGGAAATACACACACGCACACACACACAGAGGACACGCAGACAGCAAAGGATTAACGGTAAACACAAGAAATTACAGTTTTAAGCATATGAATATAATGCAAAGAACAAACATGGCGTTTGGCAAATAAAATAATGCCAGAAAGCTCTTTAATGCCGTGCGCTCTTTAAATGGCCATCAAGTACAGTCGCGCGGGCTGGTCGCGGGGGTTGCCAGCCAGTTGGCCGCCCGCTGTGCGGTGATGCCGTATGGCGCAAAACTTCCGTTGGTTATCCAGAAAACTGTACGGCGATGACAGCAATTGCCCCGGCCAGGAGCAAGCGTCAACGCTTCATTGGATTTTGGGCAATCATAAGTAGGACCTCGGGCTGCTGTCTGTCTATCTCTCCCTCTCCCTCTCTAGCACTCTCTTTCTCTATCTCTCTCTCTCTCTCTCTCTCGCTCTATCGCTCTGTCTGTTTGACTGTAACTGCCACTGGATCTGGCCTCATCGTTGCCCTTTTCGCTAAAAGGGAAATGCTACACAAAAAAGTAAAGTGCCTGCGGCAAACGAGGCAGCAGGGCCTGGTCTGGTATGCGGCATGGGGCATGTGGCATGGGGCAACGGCCATCGGCCACCGGAAAGCAATGTTGACGTTGGCAGAGCTTTCAGCTGCAGAATATGCCCGATTCAATGTGCTCTCTGTGCGCGTCCAGCAGGGGGAGATGCCAAGTCGTTCCCTTTGATGCATGCTAAGCACTTGGAGCACAAAACATTTTCTACATCCATACAATATTTATGCATACTTAATTCTGCTTGTACTTTTCGTGGCCAATATTTTAAACAGTTCATGTTAAATCATAACTTTTTTTTTTTGGCGTAAAATCATATTTTGTGCTTTTTGAAGGCATTTAAGTTCGCCTGCGCTTTAACCAGTTGGGAATTATAAGCGAAAGCCCGCTTAAAGCTGCATTTGTTGAATTTCTTGTCGCCTTCTTTGGAGCCGTAATTATTACATAAATGGAATTTCCTTTTTGTATTGCGCCGAACAAGTTCTGAGTGTAAAAGCGACAGCTTCTTAGAGATCTTTCAAGTGAAAGCGAGATTCACAAAAAAGTGTGCTAAGCATAAGCATTTTATCAACTTCTGTTAAAAAAAATTATGTAGAATTCGGTTTATTCTCTGCCAATGTAAGCTGCTTATGAGAAAACCTTGTAAGGAGCTAAACTGTCATTTGCGTTTTATTGTGGCTGAACATTTCAATTCGTATAAATATACAAGGTAACCTTACATATTTATGTAAATGCGTATTGGGTAGTTGGGAATTGTAAGCCGAAAATGCTTTGCTTAGCCTTTACAGCAAATCCTGAAAGAGCTTTGACAATTGAATAAGTAGATTGAATATTGTATTCAAACAAGTCGCACATTTAAATAAGTTGAAAAGAAAGCTCATTAAAGCTTGTAGTTTCAAGGTTTTCTATAAGTACATTGAAGTGCTCTTTGAATGTTGTGGAAATGCTCATTGAAATATTACTTCAGAAAATATATGCCGAGCTTTTATGCTTTAATATATAGATTGCATAAAACGGTGGAGCTTTCGAGCTTTAAGGAGCTTCAGGTGAGCTTTAAGCATCGCCTTCTAATTTGTTAAGCGAAAGCACATCAAAGCTCGAAAGCGCATTAATAAAGGAGTAAGCACATTGGAAAGCTCACGTAGTTATGTAAAATGTCCTAAAATATGGTATTTAACCCCATTTCGCCTCTCACCAGCGTATGCTGCCTTTTATTTATATTCCTTATGCCTCCCAACAAATATATAATCATATTGTTTTTTTTTTTTTAATGTGATTTTATTCATACTGAATTATTTATTTGGTTGACATTTATACTATTTACGCATACATTACTATTTGACTTGCCTGGCCTTGACTTTGCGCTAGACTCCAGAAATGCAAGCAATCTTTTCTTAGACATCAACTTTTATTTTATACTTTAATTTCTTTGTGAGTACATAATTCTCTAGATCAAGTGACATTTGAAGTACTTGGATTTGGGTTTTGTTTTGTTTCCTTTTCTTTTTTGTGTACTTGGAGAAGTAGTGTGCCTTCTTTTTTTTTTTTGTATTTTATTTTTTTTAATTATGTTTTTCATTTAGCTTAATCTTAGGTTTGTTTCAATCGTTCGACCAATTTGCAGGGCTGCTGCTCCGTTCTCGAGTACTAATAACTATGCAGAACTCTGCAATCCAATCTTACAATATATATGCGTGTGTCTGCCTCTACATATATATGTCTATATATATATATATATATTTGGACACAAAAAAAAACACCAACTTTTACAACATTTGTGTGTGTAGATTGTATTCATAATAGATATTTGACGAGGCCTGTTTCGCGCGTAATACTTGGGTTTAATACTTGAATGTTTCTGATTAATAGACTGCCAGTTCAATTATCTTATGATGTGCACAAACCATAAATATATTTGCCCGATGCGAATCAAATGTTTACTTTTTGCTTTCGGTTCTCAATGCCCTGTATGCAAAGTGCGAAGGGGTATATTGGCTTCGGTGCTTAGTCTGTTCGTCTTTTTTGGTTTATTTATGCTTGTATTTATGCCCGCATTGAATAATAAGCTAAGATAATATCGATGGATCGATATGTTTATAAACATATCGATAAATATGTAGCTCGATACATATTGATACATCGATATCCTTCATGTTAGTTTTTGTGCAAATTCTGTTTGCCCTTTTTGGCGAAGCTTGATCAGCTAATAAGCTGTGATACGGTCGACTTATCAATGGATACATAGATACAGATACATCAATTGATTGCTATCTATATCGATATATATATTGATCTAATATCGATACATGTCGATACGTCTATATACGTGTATATGTGTATCGATAATGTATCGATAAATATATAGACATAAATATATCAATTGGTTGTTTTATATATATCGATATATATATATATATATTGATACATGAGCGATACATCGACATTTTGCACAGTTCCAGAGCTTGATGTGCTACAAAAATCGATATCATCTAATAAATGTATAGCATATTTTGAGCTTTTGCGAATTTGTGGAATTTGTGCGTGAGTATTGTGCAGTCGGTGCGTTACTTTTTTTTGCTAAGTATTTTTTGCCAGCTTTGCTTTTGCTGTCTTGGGCTAGAGTAAACGAAATTTGACGAAACAGACGCTCGCAATGGTTGTGTATCTTATGTGTATATTACGAATAGCTCTGTAAACATTTATAATAGTATTTATCATACTTAAGATTTGGCCTTTGGTATGCAACCACCTTTCCCTCTGCTCCTTGAATTGTTTTTCATTTTTATTTTTGTATATTTTTATTTCTCTTCCTGCCTTTAACTGCGACAGACTTTGCCGGTGCCTAAATTTGTCACTGTGTGCGTGTGTATGTCCGAGTGTGTGTGTGTGTGTGTGTGTGTATTGGTGGTGCATTACTTTGTGGTTGGTGCTGCAAAGAATTGACATATTTGGTGCTCCCAACTGGAACCTGCTGCTGCCACTCGCCCGCACACTCTCCCTCTGCCTCGCTCTATATCTATCTCTCCCTCTCTCTCTCTCTCTCTCTCTCTCTCTCTCTCTCTCTCTCTGTGTGCTTGAGTTTTCTTTTGGCTGCTTTGCGTTTCCGCTTGGCGTTGACTAACAGCTTAAGTTTCCGGTGTGGAGCCGTGCGGGGGCGGACATAGCCAAGTTTTACAAACTTTGGCCAGAATGTGGATATGGTTGTTGTTGTTGTTGTTGTTGATTTTGTTGTTGATTTTGTTGTTGTTGGTGGCTGGAATCAGGCAACGACATCAACTGATTCAATTTGCTGGCAATGCAGCTTTGATTTTTGATATTTTCTTTTTTTTTTTGTTGCACACCAATTACATTGCAAGGGTCAGGGGGATCAGGGGGGCTGTGCGGATGGGTGTTGTGTCGGAAATATGTGTTAACTGCAAAGTCGCTTCAGTTACAGTTGCTGCTGCTGCTCTTAGCCCAAGATCTTCTTGAAATAGCTGACGGTTTCCGGCTTTGTTAGCGAACGGTGTCGATTTGGCTTGAATGGCGCTTCGGTTTCCACGTGCAGGAAGTTGCGCCGTGTTGTGGCGCTCGTTAACTCCAGCTCATCCTCATCCCTATCTCCATCTCCATTGCCATCCTCGGTCACACTCTCGCTTTCCAACTGCAACTTTGTGGCGCTCTTCATTTCGGCAGCAGCAGCAGATGCTGTTGCTGTTGCTGTTGCTGCTGCATTCGAGCTGTTTTCATTAGCTGTTGGCTCTTTTGTGGCGGTTGTTGGCGCCTCGCTAGTAGGCACTTTTCCAGCTGACATTGTTGTTGCTGCTGCTGCTGCTTCTTGTGTTGTCCTGATTGTTGTAACTGTCGGCGTCATTTTGGTTGCTGCGTCTGGAGCCGCTGTTGCTGCTGTCACGACAGGAACACTTTGATGACTTGTCGTGGCTGCTGTTGTTGTTGTTGTTGTTGTTGTTGCCAGCGTATTGGTAGCAAGATGCTCGGACTTGTGCTCGCCGTGCTCGCCATGCTTGGCAGGCGGCACATAGTGCGATTTGACCAGCAACATTGGCGGTATAAAGTGCGAATTGTCCGCCGTTTCTTTGACATGTGGATGGGCACTTTCATCGCGATTTTGCTGCACCGGATGTATGGGATGTGCAATGCTAACCACGGTCGTTGACGTTCCCAATGGCATTGCTGTTGTCGTTGGGGTTGGGATGTTGCTGGTGCTCGTGATGGTGCTGCTGCTGTCGTAAGTATTGGAAGTGTTGCCGGTGGCTGCAACAACTGTTGTATCTGTTGTATCCGTTTCCATTGTCACATCCGTTGCTGCGGCTGGAGTTGCTCCCGTTGCTGCTGTTGTTGTCATAATGTTGTTTTCGGTTGTTGTAGCTCGCGTTGCTATTGCTGTTGTTGTTGGCGCCGATGTTGTTGTTGTTTGTGCTGTTGTTGTTGGCGGCGCTGTTGCTGCTGCTGCTGTAGTTGTTGTTGTTGTGGGCGCTGCTGTTGATGTCGGCAGGGTTGTTGTTGTTGCAACTGTTGATGTTGCTGCCATGGTTGTTGCTGCTGCTGCTGTTGTTGTGGTTGTTGTTGTCGCTGCTGTTGTTGTGGTTGTCGCTGGTGCTGCAGTTGTTGTAGTTGTTGTTGCTGCTGCTGTTGTTGTTGTTGCTGCTGCCATGGTCAACTCCTTGGCACTTGTTGCCTCCTCAGTTGCTGCTGTTGCTGTTGTTGTTGTTGCTGCTGCTGCTGTTGCCTCAGTTATGGTCGGCATTGTCCTCAGGTCCTGCGGCAATATTTTCTTCTTATGCGGCAACGCCTCGAATATCTCGTTGGACACATCGCTATCGCTGACATCCTCCGGCAGCTGCTCCTCGCTCAACGCCGGCTGATCGCCCATCATCATGTCCAGATGGGATATCGGTTGCGGGCTCGTGGTTGTAGTCCTAGTCGTAGTTGTGGGCGTGGGCGTGCTCGTAGTTGTGACCTTGCGCATCTGGGTCTGATGCTGTGCCAACAGCTTCTTGGCGTGCTCATCGTTTATGTTCACCTTCTTCGCGGACTTCTTGACGGGCATGGGCACCTCGTCCGGGATGTGGTAACGGGCCACCGGCATTATCAGCCTGTCCAGGCTGAAGCGCTCGACTGGCGGCGGCGGCGGTGCGACGGTGGCCACCTCGATCTTCATGACGCTGGCAGCATAGTTGGCCACCAGGGGCATCAGGTCGATGTCGTTGTTCTCGTTGTTGTCGGTGCGAATGCTCTTGATGATCTGCAGCGATTTGAAGTGCGAGTTGGTGATGTCGTTGATGCGTTGCGCCTCCAGCCGCTCCTTCGGGCAGATGAGCTCGCGCACGGCCCGCTCTCGATCCTGTAAATAGATGTTGAACGTCCTGGCTATATGATTGGGCCATTCCCAGGCCACCACTTACCTCTTTGCCCTTGCAGCTGTGCCGCAGCAGACCCTCCTCTTGGCAGTTCCTGATTAACTCAATGCTGGCCGTGTCCGCCATGTACTGCATGGTCAGGTTGGGCATCTCCTTCAGGATGCAGGCATCTGCCCAGCTGGGCACTGTGCACAACAAGAGGTGTTCCATCAGGCACTTGTTCTACATTTTCTAGCTCCATCTCTCACTAACTCTGAGTCTCTCCGTCTCTTTCTCTCTCCCACTGCCTCTCCCTCTTTTAGCCTTACTCCCACTTCAAACTCTTACACTCTCTCTACTTCTTGTTTACAGTTTCTCTCTCCTTCTCAGTCTCTCATTCGTTCTCGCTTTCTCTTTCTCACAAATATTCTCGAAGTTTATCACTTTATCTATTTTTCTCTCTCTCACTTTATTGCTTTCTCTCTTCCTCTATTTATACCGCTCTCTCTATCCCTTCCCCTTGCTCACGCTCTTACGTTCAGTCTCAGTTTCTCACTTTATCTCCTTTCTCACCCTCACTATCTTACGTTCCCCCTCTCTGTCTCACACTTACCTGGCATTTCGCACAGGAACGAGGCTGTCTCGGGACCGCCGCAGCGCAGGGCATGCCAACGATAGTCGCGAATGGGATCGATAACGGCGCAGAGGGGCGCGTCCATCAACGGCAACGACTCCGCCCAGTAGCCGGTGTCCACCACCAAGGGTCGTGAGTTGCTGTGTATGACAAATAGTTCAAATAGTCCATCATCTAAGCTAGTTTCACATATATACTCTATATATAGACCCTTTTTTAGTGACATTTTATTGATAGATTTTTGGTTTGCTTCATGTAATGCGCAAAGGTCAAATATTTAACAGCAAGCTGAACTGCCGTTAAATATTGACAGGCACTTGGCATAATATATAACACTAAGATGATAAAGATAAGATATTTTGCAAGGTGGCAACACTGCAGGTGGTATATTTTACATGCGGACAAACAGTTTGTTAAATTCCATATTATAACTTATCAAACGGCCCAAGGCCAAGTTAGCATTGAGTATGTCAACAGGTTAATGTGGCTGTTAAACTTAACAACCATGAGCAGGGTTGCCGATGTTCCAATGAAATGAATAAGAAAGCCAAGACTCGAACCCAAAACTCGATGCTAAGTAGTTGTTGTGCCAAAGCAGGTTCACAAAATCAGCGTTGAAGAAAAAACGCTGGTTCAAATCGTTGTTAAAGCTTGGCAGCCTGTCTCGCTACTCCTGTTAACGACTTTTAACTGGGACAGATATCATTGCTCGCAAACCAAAAATACACATATCAACACGAACGACACAATTACAATAAAATGTTTTCGTTTGTTGTTGTTTGTTGTTGTTTGTTGTACTTACGACCACATGAAGCGATCCGAGTTCTGCGGCCGCATGAGTCCAATCCAAACGATGTCGTTCACATCCAATTCCCGCAGCAGGTCGCGAGTTGCATCAAATTGAAAACTGTTGTCGACTGGCAACACATATATAAAAAAAAAAAAAACAAAAACAAAAACACACAACAACAGAAAAATAAAAGAATAACAAAACAGGCAAAAAACAACAAAAAGGAAAGAAACAATAACAAAAGGGGAGCACAAGAATGGAAACGAAACAAATGGTTTTTATTTGTTCAATGCGAATATTCCTATTTAATTTGCCCAGCGCATTGTTTTTACGTGTTGGGCATGCGGCACATTTGCCAGCGACTCTCTCACCAGCACCACAAAAACCCATCCGCGGCCCAGCGCCAACCCGTCAACCCACCGAAGGACCCAACCAGACAGCTGCTAGTCTAACCCGTTGCCTCTTCCCAGCTGGTGTCCATGCTACAAATATTTGCACGAACAAAAGCAAAACAAAAGAAAACACAAAATATGATGTTACATCTGTCTGGTCTGCAGCGTGTTCGACTGGCAGATACCCTATACTTGAAGTTCAAGTGCTTTTATACACATATTTGAGACAGTTGAGCCAGTTTTTAGTTTTTAGCTTCAACAAAATATGCTTGGCTAGATACTTAAGGTCTCTAGTTGCCCCGTTTAACCATATATAATAACTTAAAAGCCAGGGTAACTGTTAGTCGCCTTGATACTTGCTCAGTGGTTTTTATTTATATAATTACTTAATTCTTAAAATAGGGTATATTTTAGGCGCTCAGTTTCATCATCATGCAACAAAATTTGAGTATATTGAATATAGGGTATCTATCAGTCAGTCAAACTACGGCATGGCTTGCTATATTTAACCCTTGATGGATATATATGAATACATGTATAGATGTGAACACAGGGTTGTGCTAGACACTAAGTTTCAGCTTATTTATGGAATAATTATTTTACAGGGTATCTGCTAGTCGAACATTTAAATATATATTATCAAAATATAGTTATACTTTAATACTCATACAAATACTCAAATATTTATCATAGTTAAGCTACTTTAGCGTTGAGTACAGGGTATTCTCTAGTCGCCCATTTGCGCATAAAGCATGCCCTGCTTTTTTCCGTCCCTTGATATTTGTTTTGGTTTTCAGTTTTCTTTTCTTTGGTACACGCTGTTATTTGTACTTTGTAGTTCTGCTCCAACTTCTGCTGCTTCTTCTTCTCCTTCACCAACTTCTTCCTCTTCTAGTTGTGCTTCTTCTTTTTCTAGCTGTTGTTGTTTCACACATTTACATGCATCCCTGCGCCTCAAATTGTTTATGCACACCGACACCCGTTCCCGCCACCAATTCGCCGCGCCATCCTGCCCCTCCGCATGCCCACTGCTAGTTGACCCAAGGAAAATTGTGCGCTCGAATGAACTTTCGCACACGAGTCGAGGGAAACGATGAGCCAAACATATGAATCTATTTATAAGGATAAGGGACAATGCAATCCAATCAGCCAGTTTAGTATTCGAGTCAGATTTGTCAGAAATACGTTGGGGAATCCTCGCCGCATGTCCTGCAGCATGTCCAAGTGCTCTCGATAGGTATTCAATAGGATGCCAGCGCGTGCCAAGAACGGGCTGTGTTATCCTTGGCAAGGACCTTAACTGATTCGCCTTGTGAGCAGACAAAGCAACAGAGTCCAAGATCATGTTACCCCGCATGCCTCAAGTCAGAATACAAAAACAAATATTCAAAATATTCTAGCAATAAAATTTACTTGAAGATACTTTTAATGGGAGAGCTGATAGTTCCTATAGGTTATATTACGCCTATTCGATATGGCTTTTGGGATATTTTGGGCAAATAGTGAAAGTTCTTTATCAGAAAAAATTCACAAATATAAATCAATTTAGCGATATGTTCTCCCTATTGAGATGATATATATGTATTATATGTAGCTACTCTTAAGATGATATATGTGAATTACATATTATATATAAAGTGTAGCTCTCAAATGCCCAGCTTGTAAAAGATATGTTTGAAAGGGAAGAATGTAAGCTTCGATCGTTTAAGCCTATGGCAGCTATATGAATTAGAGCTCCGATCCGATTGATTATTGACAGAGAGGCAAAGGCTCGGCTCAAGCATATACTTATAACATATATATGCTTAACCAAGTCCAAGAAGTCTTCTTCTATATAACTCCCTCTGCGAGGCTTTCTTCGGCTTTTTGTTGGTTACATTCCATCTAAAGCTTATCCACATATCAATTCAATCGATAATCAATACCCTGAACCCATTAAAAATGGCTATAAGGGTATATTGTATTTGTGCAAAATCCAAATGTATATAACAGGCAGAAGAAAGCATCTCCGACCCCATAAAGTATATATATTCTTGATCAGCATCAATAGCCGAGTCGATCTAGCCATGTCCGTCTGTCTGTCCGTCCGTCCGTCCGTATGTATGAACGCAAGGATCTCAGAACCTATAAGAGCTAGATCGCAGATCGAGTTTGTTTCCGATAATCGATAACTTTCTCCGTTTCCAAGCAATCGATAAAAATCGATATCGTTATCCTGTTGTTTTGGCATTTTTGGTAAATAATAAGAGCTAGAGTCCCCAAACTTTACATATAGCTTCTAAAATAGAATATATATATGCATTTGATGTTGGAAGAAGAGGGGTCAGGGTATCCCCTAGTCGGGAGCTCCCGACTAGAACCTTACCTTACTTTTTTCTTTTGGCTCAGAGAGCTGTGAAAAACCTTTTGAATTAATCCAAACCTAAACCTAAACCTAAATTGTCTGTCTAATAATTGTCTATAATATATATATGCCCTGTATTATCTTTACCCTGGAATTAACACTTAGTTGAGGCTTCGACTCAGACCTCTTGGAAGCCCAACCGAAGATTAATTATTTACTCTTTAGCGGAGTTCATAAATAATTGCTTGTACTTGTCAACAATGTTTGCTGTTTATCAGCTTTGGCAGCTTTTATCCGATTACTTTTCAGATTTTCACAGATTTTTGCTGATTTTCGCAGCTGTTCGAACAATTTTCATTGTCTTTCGAGTGGCTGGAACAATTTATCAACAATCTGCTTACCGCATACTTATCTATTTACGAGGACCGTATGCACACGAGCCGCCTGACTGACCCTTTGTTGATTTAGTTGCCCCCCCTCCCCATTTCCCACCCACTGTGACCGTTACCCCTTGGACTGGTATAGTTGGCTGCATTGCAGTGTCCAGTATTTGTCAAAAGGATTTATTGTTTAGCTGAGGGCAGGCATATGATATAGTCTAGCGACCAGGTCCTTTGGCCAGCCGTTAGACACACCAGCACTGGGCGTGGCCTTGTGTGCACACATTGCACCTGCCCTAGCTCATGTCCTGCCACTGCCCAGGCCCCTGTGCTTGGAAAGGGCATGGCTCTTGACTCTCTGGACCTTTGGCTGCGTCATTTTGCAGTTGCAACCTGGCTGCCAGGCTGCCTGTCCGCCTGGTTGGCGCCTGGCTGCATTGTCACAACAGCTGCCGGACATTTGCAATAACGCTTCAACCTGTCCAGCCCAGTTTTGCCCTGTCCTGTCCTGTCCTGTCCTGCTCCCTTTTGCCACGCCCAGCGCTTTGTTAGCTGCAATGTGTGCTGCTCTCGTTGTCATTGGGCTTATTTGCATTTCACATTTTGTTGGCGTTTACCATTTGCTTTATATACACACTCTTTGTCAGCCTTCTACCTGTACCTGTACCTGGTCTTGCCCCTTTGCCGCTTCGCCCTGCAGCTGTTGCTGCCACACAATGTCAGCATGTATTGAATATCTTACCTTTTGTGCTGCAAGCTTAACTAAAGCCTCACGTCGCGTCTTTGACTTGACTTTGCGGCTAGCTGTCGACTGTCGACTGCCTTATGCCTCAGTGACTCTACACCCTACCGCCCCCGCGCCGGCCCCTTGCCGCGTCTGTCGCTTACCTGTCACCAGATTGGCATGATGGAACTGGCAAACGGCGTCCGCCTCGAACCAGGAGATGCGATCACGAAAGAAACGATAGAACACATTCAAGCCCTCCTGCGGCATGGTCCAAGTGTTGCTCACGTTCACCTGCAATGAGGGGGGGGCGAGAGAAGGCGGAAGTGGTTGTAGTAGATGAAAATGTTAAAGAAAAAGATGAGGAAAAATAAGAGCTTGTAGCTGTGGCAGCTGAGCTGCATGAAAAGAATTTGTTTCGTGTCGCTTTGCTTGTCAGCGCCGGGCGCAGCTCTGTGCCGCACAACGCGGCGTATGCTTAATGCATTAAGTATACGCCACGTAAAACGCTTACATTTTAAATGTTGTTCCGCACAAGCACACACACACGCACACGCACGCACACACACATAATGGGGCAACAACATATAAAAAATACACATATTATGCATGCAAATGTGTGTGTGTGTGTGTGTGTGTGCGTGCCTATGTGTAAAAGCGGCTGTAAGAAATATATTTAAAAAAAAAGCGAGTATTCACAATTTAGGCACACCGAAATTTAAATACACTTGCAGACGTTAGTCCCACGAATATTTCCATAGAATATATATATATATATATTTATCAGATATATTATATAGCAGTACGATGTAATATAGTTTAACAAAGTCTAGATAAATAACAAGTCTTGATAAATCGGCTGGTTCTACCACCAACTTTATGATATAGTAATCGAAAGCTGCATCAATTGCGACGGGATAAGTTAAGAAACCAACCAAATTTACATACAAAAACCTTATTTCTCTATCGAATCGGCTATGCGACGAAATGAAGATACCCTTTTTTTTTCAGAGCATATGAAAGTAAATGAAAATAAAGCACAAAAATCTTGCTTTGAAGGCTGGCATATGTAGGGCCCACCTCTTGACCCCCGCCCCAGTCATATGTATATATGTACTTCATTAGCTAGGAAGGCAGCCGCCGGCCCGGCAAAAGGGGCGCCTTTTTGGGGCGGGGGTTTGGGGCTTGGGGCTTGGGGCTGGGTGCAGGCGCATAACGAGTAGAACAGCTGCCATAAAGCCTTGCACACTTGGCATAGGCCAGCCACAGCCTCAAAGCGGCATATATATACATATATTCTTTTTGTTTTTTACCTTTTTAATAAGCAACAGGGGTAGCTGTGTTGGGGATTATAGGGGGGTGTGGGTCTGCGTTCCCTGAGAGCCTTCCGACGCTTAGGCTCTGACTACGCCGGCACATTAACTAATTACGAATGCAAGTCGTCGGTGACGAGGGCGCAGAGCGCAAATAAATAGGCATACGAACATAAGCCAGACGTGGATAAGGCGCATAACAAATCTTTTTTCTTATACATACACTGAGCGAAAAGTTCAGGAACTATTCCAAATTGCTTCAACTAAATATAATTAGGTGGACAAGTACGCATTAGAACTATCATACGCTGTCATAAACTTTGACACAAATACGTATCAGCTAGTTTAGCTGCCGGCTAAATGCAAGCAACCACAAAAGTTCAAATAGAGATAAGCAAGATGTACTGCTAGGTGGCAACACTGTAAAACTCAACCAATTAACAGCGAGATAAACTGCCTGGTAAACTTTCGCAGTCAACAATAGTTTACAAGTAATTAGCACATACTTTCTCGACAAATATTTATCAAGTACTTTAGTTGCCGGCTATCTAACGAATAAAAAAAGAAAAGAAAAAGAAGAGTGTGGACAGTGAAGATTGACAGGCACTTTAAAGAGGCCTCCGCTGATGCGGAAGGACGTGATTTTTTTTTGTTGTTTGCCAGAAATCGCACAGCCTGCTAATTAATGAAAAATTCTTGACTTAATTTTCATTGTGCACATTTTTTGTTATTGCCATTAGCCATATTTTGGAGCGACCTGCGGCTCATTCTTTAGAAATGTATTGTTATAAATTTCTGTTATTTTTTTTTTTTTTGTATTTATTTTTGTTTCTTTCGCAAGTTTTTTTTTTGCTGCTTTCAAATTGCAATTAAAAGATGAAAGCACACTCGCGCATGCTTTTCGCGTCTGTCAAACAATTTCAATTAAAAGTTAATTAAGTTAATGAAACGCTTTTTGGCTCGTTTTTGCACTTTGTTGCCTCACACAGCAACGAAATAAAGCGAAAAAATAACTTTGGCCCACGCGGCGTATGCGCAATGCACATTCTTAATGGTCCCCCCTCCCACACGCCCACACACATACACACACACACACACACCAGAGCCAAAAGACCATCCCGGCGAACGGCATCTCAATAGCCAGCTTGTATATGAAATAACAACATTTGTATTCATTTGATGTCGGAGCTGTTCTCGATTTGCTTGTACAACGCGTTTTTAATGAGCGTCAGCGAATATTTGCAAATATTATGCACAAATATTATAGACACAAATAGTATGCATAAATAATATTTGCAAATAATATTTGATCGAATTGAATATCTTTGTAAGCCCTTTTGCCCAAGATATTGCGGCTGTCAATTTTTATTGTTTATCAACGTATTACGGATTATTATCGAATTTTAATTCAATTATAATGAGCAGCTAAGCCTTTTTTTTTGTACTGTTTTATTTGCCTTTGATGCCTTTCATCAAACTCGTCTGCCAATTAATCATCATAATTTATAATACCAGCTGCATTTTAACGATTTTATTTGGCTTAAATATATTTAATTTAAGCAAAATGTTCATTTAAAGTGGAAATTCATAAAGGGTCAATCGAGCTGAACGTCGCGTTCTCGACAAGCTGCAGCAGAGTCTGGAGTCTATATATTTACGTTTATCATTTTGTAGATCTGGCATAGTTTGAACAATTTTAAGGCCAATTTTCTGTGCAGTTAAAAATGTTTCGCTTTAAGTATAACTCGCCTGGTTATTCATAATTTAAACTCGCTCTCTGGCATATAAATATACTTGCCAAAAGGCCTGAAAACTGCAAACTGCAACATCAGCTTGTCGCTGAGTTGAGGGTATTGCCCAGTCAGGTATACCCAACCAAAGCACTCTTTTATTCATTTTAAATCTCTTTTTTCTATGCCGACAATTGCACCGATTGGTATATTGTACAAATATTTATGATGCTACATTTTCTGTCTCGCTCTCTCTTCTCTTCTCTCTTTTGTGTACACCCACTTTACAGGGTATCTCATATGCAGCAGTATCTTATTTCGTGCCCTGCAGTCTTTCTTTTCACAATATCCATATTTTCTATTAGCGCACTCTCCCTCTCTGCCCCTTGTTGAACCATTACATTACAGGGTATATTAAGCATCTGCTTTCGTACCCTGCAGGGTTTTTCCCACATTTTCCATATTTTCTCGCTTCGTTTCACAATGTTGACAGCCACAAATTAAATTGTAACAAATTTTATAATCTAAATAAGTGCAAAGCAAATTGTTTAACATGTGTGTGTGTGTGTGTGTGTGCGCGTGTGTGTGTGTGTGTGCGAGCAAATGTTCATTCCATTATGCAATCATAATTATTCAATTACTTATTTACACACGAGAGTTTCATGAATTATTCGCAACGTTTACAAAATGTTTAACAAAAAAAAAACAAAAATTAAGTGATATTATTATGAAGCATACGCCGTGTGGGCCCAAATACATTTAAATATAAATAAAAGATGCGAAACAACATCGAATTCCGTTGCCAAAAAGAACAAATCCATATACATATATATATAATAAAATAAGTACCTGTATATATATCGAAAATATATTTTACACATAAAATAAATCCTTGGGTTCTCATGTGTGCAAAAAACTGGTGTGTTTATTGTGTTTTTGTTGTGCAATGGAAAAGAATAAATAATCAAATAAAAACAAGCGGCCAAATTGCGATCGGGTGACCACGACTGTGTAATACGCGCTTAAATGAGAAAGTTATCGATTTCAGTTTTGATCGAACTTGCGAGAAGTTCATCGAATGTTTCAAATGGTCATCAACAATGTCAATGTTGTTATCGATTGCAGTTATCAATTTATGTTGTCGATTGCACTTACCGAGCTGTGTTATCTATTGATGTTATCGATTTATTTTGTCGATTGCAGCTACCGAGTTCAGCTATCGCATGCTGTTATCGACTGCAGTTAGCGATTGCAGTAATCGATCGAAGATATCGTTTGCTGTTATCGATATATCATATAGCACACTTTGTATATGGATTGTTGCATGGTAAATACATATAAATAATATAAAATGGGATTTCGCCCAGCTGAGGCCTTCAATGCTTTGTGTCCAAAAATGAATATACACTGTTGCGTTTCGTCAAAAGGAGAGTATTATAAACGGGCCAGAGGCTGGGCCTATGCAAAGGAGGGCTGGAGCTGGGGCTGGAGGTGGAGGTGGAGGCTGCTGCAGCAGCCTTACAACACACACAGTTTGTTCACTCTTTTGCCTTTTATTTTGCTTATTTTTCTTCTTTTTTTATTTTTACTGTGCTCTTTTGCATTTTTTGTGCTTTTCTTTTTTGTAGTTTTTTTGTTTTTGTTGCTTTTTTTCGGGCTGGGCTGTGTGTGGGGGCGGGGCACTTAGCAACTTGGAGTGCAAACAGTTCAGGTTCTTCAGTTGTTTGACTGTTTGCCTCGTTATTCTTTGTTTGCAGTTATGATGAAGACGCGCAAGGGCCGGCCTTTGCACTGCGAGCCTGTTACAATTTCAACAATAGAATAAGTGAAAGCATAAAAACAATAAAATGCTTTTTAATACCCTGCACCGGGTCATAAACAACAGCTGGCTGTCCAACAGCTTGCCTAGAAGTGCATCGCCAGTGCAGCTCAACTCTGAGACTAACATACTGAGACTGTCATATATATGGCATATTATGCAGCACTCTTCAACATATATATGCCTGTCTAGGTAAAGTTAATGCACATAAAAGGCAATACATGCCCTCAAGGGTATTCGTAAGTGCAGCAATCTCGATAAGTGCACGTTTACTTGATTTCTGTTGTATAATTTCGGCATTTGCATTTTGGCCCCCTTTTAAGCCCATTCCGTATCGTTATTTGCCCTGCACTTAGGGACAAGTTTTGCGTCCGCTTTGTGTTTGTGCAGCCTTTCGAGAGTAGGTGCAAGCCAAAAGGAAGCAAAAGTACA